CAACACAATACTCGCACACATTCGCCTCCATGACCAAATTGCGCTCGTCGTTGCTTCAAGCGGCATCGCGGCTACTCTACTGGACGGAGGCCGCACTTTCCACTCTCGTTTCAAAGCGCCTCTCACCCCCACTGCCACATCCACCTTGGACATTCCCAAACAATCTGCACTTGCACAACTTATACGCATGGCTGTTATTATCCTCTGGGACGAGGCACCTATGACACACAAATTCCAGATTGAAGCATTGGACAAAACACTACAAGACATTTGTTTATCTCCCCTTCCCTTCAGCGGCAAGATCGTCGTCTTAGGTGGTGATTTCCAACAGATACTCCCCGTTGTCACCAAAGGTACACGTGCGCAAACAATAGACGCATGTATTAAATCTTCCGCTTTGTGGCGACACTTCCACACAATGCATCTCTCTGAAAACATGCGTGTCCTCACACAAATTGACACTGCTGCCGGACGAGACTACGCTGAATGGCTCCTCGCACTCGGAAACGGCGAAATCGAGCATGCACATAACAACCCTCCCAATACCATTCTCCTCCCTGCTCATCTTTGTCTCCATGGAGGCACATCAGAGCTCATCGATTGGACATTCCCTGACCTCCAGCATAACTTTGAAAACCCCCAGTGGCTCGCGGAACGTTTAATCCTATCACCCAAAAACAAATCGGTCTCAACACTAAACAACATCATTCTCGATTCATTTCCTGGCCCTGTCATCACCTCCCTCAGTGTTGACTCGCTCCTCCCTAATGAAGATTTTCCCGATATTCCAATCGACACTTTGAACACATTGGATCTTCCTTCCCTCCCCCCCCACATACTCCGCATGAAAAAAAGTGCCCCCGTCATTCTCCTACGAAATATCGCAATGAGAAACGGCCTTTGCAACGGAACACGGCTGATTGTCGACTCTGTGACAAACAACAGACTCCTTCACGGTCAACTTCTGCCGTCCCTTCGGCCGGTACTCCTCCCATGTATCTTGCTCTCAGTCACCGACATCACATCCCCTTTCCCGTGGCAGGGACGCCAGTTCCCCATTCGTCCGGCCTTCGCAATCACAATCAAGAAGTCCCAAGGCCAATCTATCAAACATGCTGGCATTGACCTTCACCAACCCGCATTTGCACATGGCCAGCTTTATGTCGCTGCATCGAGGGTGGGTGACCCTGCACATGTACACTTTGCTCTCCCTTCCCCACTTGACCACACAACCAACATTGTATACAAAGAAATCCTTGACTGAACATGCTTCCCACACACTTCACATACACAAAATACCCCGTATGCCGCCTTTCCGCCTCCATCAACAATGCCGATCCAAACCCTTCTTCTTTCCCGAACTGCATCTCCGAAAAAAGGGAAAACAAGGGCGACAAAAACGCACCATCTCTACACCGTCTTTGACCAATCTACCCTGCCTCTGTTTTTCTCTACTCCTCACGTTCCCCCTCCTCTCCTCCCTTTCCATTTTGTCCCATCCTGCAGGTGTCCATGAAGACAAACCAGCACAGAAGAAACAAAAATCATCATCCAGATCGTCATCCTCAACGACTACATCTTCCAAATCAGCAACAGTGCATGCAACAACAACTGCAAACACAACAACCACGGCATCATCGACTGCCGCCACGGCCGCTCCTACGACAATCCTTCCTGCAACTGCAGCAGCAATTGCGAGAACAAGCGCCTCAACATCTACAACTACGACTGCAACAACATCTTCAACATTGACGACAACTCTTCTCGCTGCGTCAACGACTTCGTCTCTCACAACAACAATTGCGATGACGAGCGCCTCAACATCTACAACTGCGACTGCAACAACATCTTCAACATTGACGACGACTCTTCCTGCTACGTCGACTACTTCGTCTCTCATATCTGCAACGATGCGTGCAACGGCAGCTACCACTCTTCTTGCTACATCGGCTTTGTCCCAAATTCCATTTGATGACGACATTCTCACCCAAATCCCGCTCCCATCTCCTTCCTCCTGCTGCGATGTCTTCAACAAATCCGCAATCCGCTCCCCTCACGATTTCCACAATTGTCCATCCTGTTGCTTCTACTTCTCCACTCGCCGCGACCCCTACCACATACGTCAGATGGGACGAGTGGCTCCGATTGTTAACCAAAGACAACATTGAACATATCATCACACAAATACTATGGGAAGACTTCGTCGCAACTGACCACGCTGCCTTCTTGCCCCACCTCTATGACTTCTTCGCCCTCTACAAACACAACCGAATGCAATCTCTACAGCGGCCTAGCCCCTCCGCCGACATCAACATCCAATTCCACCATGCAAAAACATTCCTTCTCAAACTCATCAACGATGACTACACCCATCTGCGTTCACCAAGGACACCCCGCCCGCAATACCAGCACGAGTGTATCACTGCGGCACACCATAGATACACTTTCATCACCAACGCCCCACCACCGCGCCAAGCCCCGTTGCAACCCCACACATCACACGACGCCACCCCGCTCTGGTGGCTGCCGCTGCAGCCCTGGGGCGCCACTACATCTATTGCCCTCATTCATGACCTCCTCGCATCACGCCATACACTCCATATTTACAACATCTCCCACCCGCCCCGCACATGGGAATACCTCAACAACCTCATCTTCCTCCACTATCAAGAGACACAGCATCCCCTTCCTCCATTTCCCACATTCAGATCAGACATCATTCGCCGAGCCACAACAATCCTCTGAGCGCAAGGACCACCTTCACAATAGGCGCTTCAAGACAAAAAGAACAACAACGGAGAAATACGGAGAGAGAACAGCGACTCGGGAATTGACTGGCGAGCGGCACACAGGTCTGGAAAGCAAACGGGTCGGGAGCGGGTGGGGAGTTGACAGACGTGCGTGTTGGGCGTGGAGGGGAGGGTGGGAGTACCATGACCGAATCCTGCGCAGTGAGAACGACAGGGGAGAGAGAGAGAGACAGAGAGAGAGAGAGAGAGACAGAGAGAGAGAGAGAGAGAGAAAAAAAAAGTCTCCTTTTCACTTGAAACATGTTGCTACATCACTCTCTCTTATTTTGACACGTCTCTATAACTCCCTTCAAAAACCTGCGCCCACGTGTTTTGCCCCCTCTCCCATGATTGTCCGTGCTCGCTTTTTCCTCCCCTCTACAAATGTTGTTCTGTCGTCTCTGTACCTCCCTTTGAATGTGCTGCGTCACTCTCTCTTATTTTGACATGTTTCTCTAAAACTCCCTTCAAAAACCTGCGCCCGTGTGTTTTGCCCCTCTCCCCTGCATGTCCACTCTCGCTTTTTTTCCCACTCTCGAAATGTTGTTCTGTTGCCATCCTTCGCCGCAGCGTGGCTGCGGCGGGTCCACTTGTATTAATTAATTTATTATATAAATAATATATATCAATAAAGACTGCAAAGAAACGGGTACAGCAAGAGTTTTCTGAACACCAAATTTTCTGTTGACTCCAACAAAATTTTTGCACTCACTAACTGGCCTCGCTCAGTTTCGGAGTCCAGAAATTTTGGAGTCCAGAAAATTATTCAAACTCCACAGGAAGCAGATGAGTGAAATACAAATACTACAATAATTCTGAATTACCGAGGGCCGGTCAGTTCGATGATGACATCTCAAGGTTGGCGCCCTTATGAAAGTGGAAAGGAAAAATAAAAAAAACAGGAAGAAAAAAAGGAAACTTCTGGACTGTAAATTCGTTACACAGATCAAACAATGGAGATGGGACACGCGGTGCAGCTACTATGCCTAGCAAAATCCACACCCTGTGATCGTCGAACCCAATGGAAAGGGGAAAAAGAAAAAGGAAAAAGAGAGCGAAAGAAATTTCATCATGCGCGAAGAACTCTTAAGCTGTGCATTTGATCAAGTTTCGAACTTCGCCCAACCCGTCCCCGCTCCTCCCCAAAAGAACCCCCCCCCCCCCCCCCCCCTCTCTCTGTGTGTGTGTGTGTGTGTGTGTGTGTGTGTGTGTGTGTGGGTGTGTCTGTATATATTGTCACACTGTATATCGGAGTGCAAGGGCAGAAAAAGACAAAAAAAAAAAAAGGTAAGGAAGGAAGGAAAGCCCCGCCTGTTCATCACCTCTTACGTACAAGGCCAGCCACGTGGATGACAGGTTGAACGCTGGCTGCCCCCATCCCCGTGTGTCACAAGGACCCACTTGCAGGCAAAGAGGTAAAGAAAAGGAGGAGGAAACCAAACCTGACAGGGAAAGAAAGCCTATCAGTCAAACAAAGCAAATGACACATCCTACAGATAATCCAATTGCCACAAAGCAAAAAACACATCCCACAGATCAACATATTTTTTCTTTTTTTTTGTTTTCTTTTTTTTTTCCTTCTTTTTTTCTTTTTTTCTTTAACTCCGTATCTGTCGGTAGTGTCGAAAGCTTTATCTGTCCCCACCTCGGCAGATAGGACAGCTACGGTGAGGATGATGTGGATGTTCACAAGGATACCCAAGGAGAGCTGCGCCAGCACTACACGGTATTCAGCAGGACGGCTAGCACGAACCATCCCATCAAAACAGTCCTGACAGAGGACGTGTTGTCCACATGTCAAAAACACGGCAGGACGTTCATCACAGTGCGGCATAATACAGTTCTGATAGCGTCCTTGGGCACAATAGGGACAACGTATATCTGGGTGATAGGGATGTGTGTGTATATACATATATATCGTCAAACCGAGCTGCCTACGGTAAACCGTAGGCAGAGAGGGAGGGGAGGGAGAAGAGGACAACAAACGAGGGACTGCGACAAACTGTTTCCTCGGAGTTTCACCTACTCATATATCATTCTCTCCCACTATCTTCGATTGAAGAAAGAGACAGACAGACATCGGCAATCAACTAGAGAGAGACAAACACACAGACAGAGGGAGAGAGGGGTCTTTTGGCGAGGAGAGGGGAGGGGTTGTGGGGGAGAGGAGGGGGAGGGGTGGGGAGGGGGCGGGAGGGGGGGAAGACTTGCCTGTTGCAATAATGTACTCGCCATCCTTAGTGCACTTTATGCGCGTTGCTGCGGTGTCAAATTCCATGTCCTGGACAAGCTCAATTCTTCGAAGATAATCTGCAAAATAAAATAAAAAATGAAAAAAAAATGAACTTCATAATTTTATCAACATTTAATTATTACCGAGAAGAAGGAAAAAAAATCCCGGGAAGAGAGGAGCAGGGAGGGAGAAAAAGAGGAGGCGGATAAGGAAATTCAATACATAGTCAGCTGACAAAGAAGACAAGGAGTATCGCTCCGGGCATACTTACACAAGGACCTTTTCGACTGAACCTAGCTGTAATTGGCGGTAGGATGCATTAATGAAAATTCTAGTGTGAGTGAGTATGCCCTCAGTGCAAGGGGTCCAAGACACCTTCGGAGAACTTGCGTGGGGGTATACATAAGGGACTCTACTGGATGTATATAACCGGAATCCTTGCCACATCCAGTTAAAAAGGATCCTACTAGTGTGAGTACGCCCTTAGTATCGACACTACATCTATTTTTTCAACACATTTGATTTCTATTGTAATTGCAGTCTGTCGTTTTCTTCTTGCTCTCCCTCAAACCAACCTCAGGCAAACAGTATTATAAACACAGAGAGAAAGAGAGAAAGAGAGAGAAAGAGAAAGAGAGAGGGAGAGAGAAACAGTATTATAAACAGTATTATTATCATTGGGGTAAGTCAGAGTTAGCCAAACTTGAAAGGAGAGAGAGAGACAGAAAGAGAGAGAGAGAGAAAGAGAGAAAGAGAGAAAGAGAGAGAGAGAGAGGGAGATTTGATTTCTATTTTTTTGAAGGGCGGCGGTCTTGACTTATTATCATTATAAACAGTATTATAAACAGTATTATAAACAGTATTATAAACAGTATTACAAACAGTATTATAAGCAGTTTTATAAACAGTATTATAAATTATTATAAACATTATTATTACCATCCAAACACTAACCGGCTTCCGGTAAGTCAGGTAAACTAATTCTTTCTTTTATTCTTTTTTATGCTTTAATTCTTTGCTTTATTCTTTTCTTCATTTCTTTTTTCTTTTTTCTTTTTTTTTTAACTTGTTCACAGATCCACTACAGTAGCGATTGAGATCATTTTTCAAGTTCCATCCTTCATTTCTATCTATTGTTTTTTTTTCATACTTAATCCCACCAACCTTCCGCTCCTGATTAAACCACATACCTTACCTTATTACCCCACCCCACCAAACATTAAGTCCACATGATTCACGACTGTATTTGGTCAGGATAGACGCTGTATACGTTCATGGGGCTGATCAGGAGAGAGTTATGCCCAGCGGAATAAAGTATAGCCATTCAGTGTGCCGTGCCATTTTTTTGCCCATTGCGGCTCCTCCTCTCTTCTCCCCTTTGAATTCAGCCACAACGTTCTTCGGGGGCTTGACTGACCCTATTAAGGGTTTGTCCCCCCTTTAACTGGCTACCTTCTTCCCCCGAATACAACGTACGGTCATTACAGCTGTATTTGAGGCATCTGTCAGTCTACATACAGCTATAATGACCGTACGTTGTATTCGGGGGAAGAAGGTAGCTGACCCTAATTGAAGGCCGGACGGACATACCAGTAAGAAATTCGGGGCTTGACTGACCCTATTACGGGATTGTGGCATGGATGACGGGCGCTGGGGGAAGAGGGGGCCGGGGACATACCCTCATCCATGCCACAACCCTAAACCAGGATAAAGTGAAGTGAGAACGAGGGGGGGAAGGGGGGAACATAACACAACAGAAAGGAAAAATCCTCAACACAACACAACAAAACCTCTCTCTCTCTCTCTCTCTCTCTCTCTCTCTCTCTCTCTCTCTCTCACACACACACACACACACACAAGACATTCTCAAGATCGAAAGCAAGGGAGCGGCACTCCTCGTAAGGCAACCGAATACAACGGAAGGGGACAGCACAGCAACGAGCGGACCGGATACGGAGGCGAAACCTAAAAAGACGCGTGATTTTTTTTACCTTCCTAAAAAAACGCGCGCTTTTTTTTCCCTTCCTAAAAAAACGCGCGCTTTTTTTTCCCTTCAAAACGCGCGCTTTTTTTTAGGAAGGGAAAAAAAAACGCGCGTTTTTTTAGGAAGGTAAAAAAAACGNGCTTTTTTTTCCCTTCAAAACGCGCGCTTTTTTTTAGGAAGGGAAAAAAAAACGCGCGTTTTTTTAGGAAGGTAAAAAAAACGCGCGCTTTTTTTCCCTTCCTAAAAAAACGCGAGCTTTTTTTTACCTTCCTAAAAAAACGCGCGCTTTTTTTACCTTCCTAAAAAAACGCGCGCTTTTTTTACCTTCCTAAAAAAACGCGCGCTTTTTTTACCTTCCTAAAAAAACGCGCGCCTTTTTTACCTTCCTAAAAAAAGGCGCGCTTTTTTTACCTTCCTAAAATAACGCGCGCTTTTTTTTTTCCTTCCTAAAAAACGCGCTTTTTTTTTTCCCTTCCTAAAAAAACGCGCGCTTTTTTTTCCCTTCCTAAAAAAACGCGCGCTTTTTTTCTAGAGGCGCGCGCACACACGAGAAAACGCTGGGACGCCTTTTTTTTCCCAGCGCGGGCCTTCTTTTTTTTTTCTCTTTTTCATGCCGTGCGTCCAAGCGCGCGTTCGATTTCTCATCGTGCAGGCGAATTTCTTTTTTCTCTAAAGGTGTTGTCTTTTCCCTCTTTTTGTTTGTTACGATTGGAGATAGAAACCGGAAATCGGGGGGAAAAAAAATACTATTAACTACTCAATCAATCACAGATGATCCAGTTCCCAACAGTAGAGGGGAAAAAAAAAAGATAATCAAATCCCTCAAGAGTTCAGGGTGGGTGGGAGCGGGATGTATTCGTTGTCTGAATCTTCGAAGCAACCAGCAATGCACCATTAATCACTAAATCCATTGATCGTCGATCCATTACCAATCCATCGATCCATCAATCCATTATCAATCCATCAATCGCCATCCTCAATCCATCGATCAGTCATTCGAAAGAAGGGGGAAGGCGGGGGGGGGGGGGGAGGAGGAATCGATCACCACGATCAATCAATCAACCGATCCATCCACCAATCCCCATCTCCGTTAATCAATCCGTCCATCCGCCTATCAACCTGCTGACGTAATCAATCAATCAATCTATCAATCAAAATCAATCAACCAAGCAATCGATCAATCAACCAATCAATCAATCGATCAATCAACCAACCAATCAACCAATCAGTTGATTGGTTGGTTGATTGGTTGGTTGATTGGTTGGTTGATTGGTGGATTGATTGGTGGATTGATTGATTCGTTGATTCGCTAGTGGTTGGCTGATTGATTGATGATTGGCTTGATGAATTGATGATGAACGATGACGTTAACGCTATTTGGCGAGCTGATGAATGGTCTTTTAATTATCAGATCGACCAGTACTTCGCTCCGCTTGATTTCTTGCTCGAGTGACTGAGCTGTTAATTGATTGATCGATTGATACCTTACAGAAGCTGATAAGTCAAGCTGATTGGCTAATTGATTGATTGATTGACCAACCGAATTGATCGATCGATTGGCAGCATAATGACTTCGTGTCCTCGCTTGGTTGCTTAACCTAGTGCCCTTTTGATTAGGTTGGTTGATTGATTCATTGATTGGTTGATTCATTGATTAATCGATTCGAGTTACCATTTTGATTAATTGACTGATGATTGACTGATTGACTGATTGATTGATTGAGTGACCAAAAGAATTGATTGATCGATCCGCACAATAAATACGTGGAGAGATGGTCTGATTGACTGATCGACTGATCGAGTGACCAACCTAACTAGAGTGATTAAATTCATTCATTCATTCATTCATTCATTCATCCATTCATCCATTCATGTTATTTGATTGATGCCCTTCATGCCCTCATTATCATCATCATCATCATCATCATCATCATCATCGCTGGCGCTTGTCATTTTCCACTTAATCGAAAACACATCTTCATGCCCTTCATGCTCATGATCAGATCATCTTCATCATCATCATCATCATCATCATCATCATCATCATCATCATCATGACCACCGCCAACGTTTCCGTCAGCTCCTTCTCTTCGCTGACACGTGTCATTTTCGTACCAAATTGCTTTTCTGCTCTCTAACAAGGGTTGAGTACAACCCGTGCGAGCGAAGCAGAGCAGTTTAAGAGGAAGAGATTGACAGAGGGAGGAGCGGGAAGCCAGAAACGGGAGAGAGAGAAGAAGAGAAAGAGAGAGAGGAAAAGAAAAAGAGCAAGAGAGAAACGAACGAGAGAAACAGAGAAAGAGGAAGAAATAAAGAGAACGAACGAGAGAAAACAGCAAGTGGAGGGAAAAAAAAGAGAAAGAGAAAGAGAAAAGAAAGAAAAAGAAAGAAACAGAGAGGACGAAACGAGGAGGAATGAACGAGAACGAACGAGAGAGAAAAAGAGAGAAGAAAGGAATTAGAAAAGAGCAAGAGGGAGAAAAAGAGAGAGAGAACGAACGAGAGAAAGAGAAACAGAGGCGCACAATCACAAAACAATGGGACAACGAGAGAAGGGAAAGAGAGAAGGAGAGAAGGAGAGAAGGAGAGAAGGAGAGAAGGAGAGAAAAAGCGAAAGAGAGAAAGAGAGAGAGAGAGAGAGAGAGAGACGCACGTACAGAGAAACGATGAGAGAGAGGACAAAGAGAGGGAGAGAAAGGAAAAGACGCATTACAAGGAGAGGAAAAAAACATTAATACTAATAGGGGGGGGGGAAGAAGAGAATGCGAGAAACGAAAAAAGAGAAGGAGAAAATGCAAAAGGACAAAAAAAACATTATTAGGGGAGAACATCCTAGAATCGTTGAGGTCACGTGCAGTTTTTTTTTTTTTTTTTCGTATCTATCGCTTCCATCTCTCTTTTTTTTCAGTCACTTGCATCTTCCATTGCGTATTTTTACCCTCTTTTTTATCTCACTGAAAGAGAAAGTCATATGACCATATACACGTCAGTGCAACCCACCATTTCCATCTTTTTCCTTTCTTTTTTTTTTTGAGATGACTTACCATTGTTCTTCCTCAGCCCACGCTTGTCTTTTTCTGACAGCCACTGCGGAATGTTCCGCCCTCCCGCAACATTATATACCTTGACCCCATTGAGGGCCGACACCTTCAGAGTCCCATACGATCCCATCTCTCTCTCTCTCTCTCTCTCTCTCTCTCTCTCTCTCTCTCTCTCTCTCTCTCTCTCT